CATGTTAGTGCCAACGATGTTCGATCGACAAGGAGGAAAACTGCTACTGCTGTTTGCGACTAGGTGGCTGGCGCTGCAGTCGGCTCTGGGCAACCGTGAATGCACGGCACTCAGTGGCATTTTGGTGTGCCACAGGAACCGCAGCGCGGCGGCAAATGTTAAGCTATTTCTGTGGGACAAAGACGAGGGAGAATTCGGGTACGGTTTCGCGACCGACGACCAGATGATGGCGTAAGGTGCCATGTCGTACTATCGTTGCTGCTCTGATGTCGACCAATTTAGAACCAACGTTACAGATGCGAACGGAAGCTTCACGCTCATCGGCTGCGGCTACGACAAGGAGGCGTACCCAGACGCTGACCGGAACCAGCCCGATCCGTACATCGAGATCAGGCACACCTGCAACGGGCCAACGCTGCAAAAAACAGCGTGGAATCTGCCAAAGATTTTTACACCCGGAAGTTTGTGGTTAGGTGAAATAGTACTGGACACTGACAGCGGAAATGGGGCGATATAAATGATTTATTGAAACGGTATTAATAGTACAGCGTTTGAATAGTTGTGGTGTGAATTAACGATTACGTGGATCGATAGGATTATGGTAATAAAGTCGTTGTGCATATTCAGCAGGCCACTTTTTGTGGCATCACATTCTTAATTGCTGTGGGCGTTTTCGAACGATTGGGTACCTGCTGCTTACGTCGTTTCTTGCATTGGCCAGAACATCAAACATCACCAACGGTCTCTCACATTTCTGTACGCAAATAGAGTTCGAAAATCGTCAAATACATGTTGAAACACGGAACAACGAATAGCGCAATGACAAATTATTATTTGCACGAGTGCATTTGAACCCCATGAATTAATTTCAGCCATCAGTCACCAATGTCATCGAGTGCAGAGATTTTTTGCTGTTAGAATGCAGCATAAGAAAAAGAAGAATTCGCCAGCACGTGTATGGGAAAGCAGTGCCCTATGTATAAATCATATATCGGTGCGAAATATTGTACGGGACATTGAACCGATCCGCTGTGTGGCTTTGAAGATGGATCTGTCATGAACTCACGAATGTTCGGGTTGATGACATGAGATTGTGTTATATATCTTTTAGCGAAGTTTTGTTTCACGATCAAAAATCTGTATAAAACGCCCTATATGTGTGTGTGTGTGTGTTGTGAAGGAGGCACCTACAGTAATAAGTCGCGAAGAAATGACGC